GCTTTCTTCCTAGAATTACTGAGACAAAACTCAAAAATCTTTCAGAAAAATGGGTTAGGTTTAAGCTCTCTCATCACAGAGGTATTGCAATATTGTGTCAGTATACAGTACCCCAAGGTAACACCAATACATGTTTTACAAGGAAGAGAAATCACCTGACAGTAATGAAACCATGTTCTTCCAGAACAAACAGTATAAAGCCCTAGAGACAGACAGGAAGAACATGGTGCAGGATACATTCTTTTGTATGCTCTGGGGAAGCACCGTCCAGCATGTACTATTGGAGTTAGGAAGCCAAGGAGTCCACATGTGGGGTGTTTTTGCACCTGGACTTGGGGTTGTGCTAATGATTATAGGTGGGAAAGTCTAGGCAATAGGCTAACGCAAGACACTGTCCAGGAGTTCTGAGAGCCTGAGGCTGATGGTTAAAGATACCAGAGGAAGGGCGAGGTGCCATGTGAAAGGGGGCTGTGGGGAGGGCACAGAAAAGTGGTAAGCAAATGCAGAGTCATGGCGAGGCTGTCGGGAAGAGAAGCTGAAGGAGAGTGGGAGAAACAGTCTGAATAGCAGAAAAGGAAAACAGCCTTGGTGGGAACATTTGGCACACTTGGAAGGATGAAACTGGAGCGAGAAGATAGTGAAGAGACTGTGCAAATCAAGGCAAGAAGTGATGACCTGGCTACCCCAACTCTAACTCTTGGATATCTAAAACCCTATTCCAGCTGCAAAAACAACCAGCATACAGACTCCTTGGCTTCCTAACTCCAATAACTCCATGCTGCATGGTGCTTCCCCAGAAGGAAGCTGGATGTTGCAGTTTGAGTGACATCATCTGCTTCATTTCATGTCTTGTCCACACTATAGAAAAATCCCAGGCTGTGTCTACCAACCACCTTGTCATGGAATGCTGTATTAAAGGCATCTCCACCAACCATGGCTATTCTGAGGAACTCTAAATATCCCAGTCTTGTTCTTACCTGCAGTGAGAGAATGGATTAGAAATCAGTATTAAAAAAAAAAAAAAAAACAACTAAGTTCTCATTGATGAAGATTTTGCATTCCCAGTAAGACGTAATAGGACCCAGGTTAGGTTAATGCATAGACTACCCTACTGAGGTGAAGAACAGCAGTTTATTAAAACAAAAACAAAAAACCAAAGGAATACATTCCAAAAAGGCATGGCTAATTGTGGTGTAGCAGAATATTCTAGAAATTTAATCACTGACATGCATTCTTTGCCACTGAAATACATTTTGTAGTACACACAGTATTTTCATTATGTATTTATAATGAATCTCACATACATGCATGGTATCAGCTGCCTCTGCACACCCTCACCAACCTGTTCTATCTTCTAGCTCCACCAGCCTTATCTCAAGATGCATTATGCTTCTTACTGACTCAAACATATTTCAACTTGCTCTTTCTTCTGCCTAGGTTCTCCTCACTTTTAATCAAAGTAAAATTGACTTAAAGTTTTCTTTAAGAGTATCTTCACCTACTATTGCTTTACAAATTTTCTGGCTTCCTTAAATGAATACACTACACTGAGGTCTACAGCACAATGTATTAGCTACTGCTAGTATATATATAGGACTTGGGTAAATGGTAAAGTCCAAGAAAAGAAGGATCCTATCAATTTGGAGTTTTCAATATAAGTGTATATAGTTCAGTCAATGTTTGCTGACTCAAAAAAGGACTCTGGCAATAAGGTGTTATTTTGAACACCATTCAATATTCAAAATCCTATGTTACAAGACCAATGACTTGGCATTCAAAAGGGAGAACTTCTTGGTGCAATACTAACTTCATATAAACTGTACTAATTATTTTAATCCATGGCAATGCAACATTCTGAAACTCTTACATTCTGAGAGACTGGCACTTTTGCTGGACCTCACAGCCAATGTTGATAATACATCTTGAAGTCACTTAAGACGTGGGACTGCTAGCCTTGAATACACTTATTGTGTAGTCAAACTTTGTTTAAGTTGCTTTTACTAGACCAATGGAAAACTCAAACTTAACTGCCTTGGCTTCCCCATGTAATCAACTTTTACAACCTAAGATAATGCAGAGCTGTCCTCTTACGTTACACCCCTTCCATGTCCCTGACCCAGAATAATACATATGTACCATTTGTTTTTTAAAAAATCAAATACAGAAGTTGAAAGCAACTTCCAAAAATCTACTATAAAGATTAGAAGCAACCACTCATAGTTATTGGTTGATAAAAAATGCTGTTTGTTAGCTGGTGAAACCAGTGACTTAATCCCTTATAAAACTGTTAAGGATTTCGGTAAAGTATCCCATTTCTTCCCCATGTGACACTACCTATACTGTTCACACCCCTGCCAGACAGACAGATATCACTCACACTTTTAGACACACAGCTCATACAATGGACACTTATAGGGATAGGCACACTGAGAAATAGGGACAAACATTCACAAGACAGCCTTCAGGAAAGCACAGATTCAGACTGATGCAACAGACAAAGGATGGAAGATACAAGGAGCATGAAGTAGAAATTTAAATCTGGACTCATTCTTGGTTTAAACCACTCCAAGGGGAAGTGCTTCGATTTCTTTCCTTAAGAGACACCAGTGCGTTATTGGTGACTTGCACTTAATCACCAATGCATTGCAATCTATGGGTTCACTTACTATAATAAGGAGATAATATCAACTTCTATTAAAAGTAGTCATGGCACTAGGATGATTCAAGAAAACCCATTGTATTCATTCCTTTCATATTATGATAAAACACTCTGATCAATAACAGCTCAAGGATGGGTTTATTTGGGCTTCCAGTTCCAGACAATTAGTCCACCATGGTGAGGGAGGCATTGTCAGATGGTTGGAAAAGGAAGCTGGCTGATCACATCTCAACTCCATACTACTTCAAGGAGGAAGTAGAACAAGGCTATCTAGCCTTAAAGCCCAACCCCAGTGACATACTCCTCCATCAATGCTGCACCTTCTACAGGTTCCATAACATCTTCAAACAGCGCAACAAACGTGAATCTATTGAGGACATTTTTCATTCAAATCATAACAGTGAGCAGATGTAAATAGAGCACTACCATTGTCAAAACTATTGTTGATTCACTGTGTGAGATGTTATGAATAACTCGCTCACTGAGCCTCGTTCCTCGCCTGCATGCCTTCCAGGAAGGTTCTGCTCTGTAGTGCACAGTACCCTCTACTATGTTCCTGGCTCCATCATGGTGCCATGTAATGGAGAAACAGTTCACCTAGGTCTTTCCTGCAGAGTCACGGGTATGCATCACATGGAGAACTTGGTAAGTCCTAAATAAAGAAGCTCCTCAATTTAAAGAGTAATACCAATAGTTTTAGTATTAACTGCTGTATCCAATAACTTATATATCTTCTTGCCCTAAAATAGTCTGACATAAGGTATGCTATCTACTGCTCATTGACTACAGGTCCTGTGTCACACAGTCCTCTCTCTGGAACCCAAACCAGCAGAGTTTTGACTGTTTTCCCAGATCAGTCTTCTAGCCTCAGGATGACCCAGAACTTTGGAATTCAGGCTGATAACTTATTGATCACAATTAGGCACACTGCCCCTTCCAACCAAAAGCGCTAAGGAAGCACCATCCTACTCCACATTCCTGGAAGGTAGGCAGTCACAAACAGTCCATGAATAGCACTTAGCACAACTAGTCTTGTTCAGTACCGACCTCTGATGTCCACTGCCATCTGCCTTTAAAAACAAGGGTTGATATAATTACTCCTCAAGAATGTTAGCCTCTTTATGAAAGGGGCATGCTCATACAAACTCAGAAATGAGAACTGGAAGGCTGATCGCTGTTTAGCGTTTGTCTGAGGTAGGTGTTAGAAAATTTCCTTTTAGAAGATTGTATGAAAACAATCTCTTTTCACTTAAGGTCTCCAATGGAATTCCCACAACACATAAAAATCATTTTCTAACCAGTTGATCCTTGCTTCTTTCAGATAGTATTTCTGTGCAACAGAAATAATCGGGGTAGCTTCTTTTTCTGCTTTTTCAATAAGGTATACCATACATGCCCGTTTGTAATGTCTTCTGCCCAGTGTATATCATAAATCATAAAATAACAGCAATGAAGTTGGCACAGAGTCCAGCTAAACAGAAGAAATGAAATCTATTCTTAAAAACAATTTCTGGAGAGCATATTAAGTATAATTTGTAATGTTTTTGAACCTTGTTTGCTAGCTGGTTGGGTTGTGTTACAGAGTGGTACAACACAAAATGATGATGCTCTATTATCACCCAAGACTAAGCACAACAAGGTGCTTGTTAGTAGTCATTGGAGAGTCATGGGCACAGTTTCTGCGAGAAGTGCAGAGTAAGTGCATGTCATTATCTCGGCCACCTCCAGGTGCTGGTCTACTTCTCCCATCTGTATTTCCTTTATGCAAACACCACCCAGTTGCCTCATATGCGTAAACTGCTCTGAGCCATGCTTGGCACATGGTGGCCACTAGTGTTGGTTGTTGTCACTACTTGGCACATGGTGGCCACTAGTGTTGGTTGTTGTCACTACGTCACGATTTACAAGTGCTTTCTACATTACATGCCCTGGAGAGATTCTGAAGTGTGATTTGCCTGAGTTCAACCTAGTGTAAGAAAACTTGCTAACTGGTGTGAGAAACTTTTCTCCCTGGTGTGAGAAAACTTGCTACCCAAGGTATTTTTCTTATTTAGGACCAAAAGGGTAAATGACCTCACAAGTCAAGTGACCCAAGTAATCAAAAACTGTACATGTACGTCCATGTAAGTGTCCCCAAACTATTGCCTGTACCAGTAAATTCCATGAACTAATGAAAGAGAATGTGACAGTTCTCCCGCAGAGCTGGACTGAGTAACAGCTGTCTCAACACTGCTACCCCACTAAGATAAATCCAACCCAGCACCTTTCAAGTATCCCAGGATATATTTTATTTCTATAAAATGAATCTGATTTGCTCTAATGGTCTTTGGTTTCTCATGCATCACTCATTCCATTCACTTAAAGCATCCTCTTCATGTCCGGTTCCATCCGCTGGTGACTGGTCAAGAGAAGCTGAATCTTTGTACCTCATAGAACTCATGTCGGAGTACTTCTCAGTCGTTGAGGCTTTCGCCCCCCAGAAGGATTTCACTGCCGCCCTGGAAGAAGAAACAAAAACAGAAAAAAGGGCCAAAATAAAAAAACAAAAACCAGAACCCAAACTAAATGAGGTTCATGATTACAATTCCATTGTATAGCAGTGCCTTTTATCCAACAGCTCAGTTCCACTCGGAATAGGCCACCTGCACTGTGACTGATGGAGTGTCAGATGTGTCAGGTATAATACACATATAATCATTTTTGAGTGAATTGGGAGGTTACAATAACCAAGCTTTAAAGCAGGGAGAACTACTACAGTTAAGCATCAAAAGTATTAATATATTTTTTTAAACAACTGCCTTGTAAAATTGTAAAATGCTCATCTGAAAGCTCTCCCCTGGCTGGGAATAAGTCATGATGTTGTTTTTAAAAGTATCCATTTACAAGATGGGTTAGCCTGGAAGAACTTAGTATCAAGACATAGAGGAGATCCTGTGGGGCAATGGTCTGAGCTTCACTGCAAATGTGTGGGGGTTGAGAAGGATGTCAATCAAAGGAGACAGTGCACACCAGCCATTCACCTACCAATTAATGATGATGAAGATCAGTACGAAGATCACAAATATGCAGATAATGACCCCTACAGTCAGCACAAATACTAAGACTGCATCAGTGTCTGGCCTGCTCGATCTTTTCATCTGCAATTCTACAAGCAGAGAAATACCCAGTGAGAGCTGCTAGTAGAAACAAGTGTGGACGGCTATGTCACTGGACCATTTCTGTAAAGGTTGTTTTTTATTCACTTCTCTGAGAGAAGTCAAAGGGTGAGAGCTGGCAATGGGGGAGGGGTGTATTAGTTAACTGGCCACTGGGAGAGCACTGTCTCAAGTCTTCCTGCTATGGCCATGTTTCTTGGACTTCTCTCAGATTTCAGCTGGCCTATTCATTTTCCAGGTGGCTTATTTCGGTAAGCTGAAGTTTTAAATTTTGATTCAGTTTGACTTATTCAATGTTACTTTTTATGGTCATTCTAAGTCATATCCAAGAAACCTTTGCCTATTACTAAATCATGCAGATTTATCCCATTTTCTCCTTAAAGCTCAAAGACTTAAATATTATGCTTAGGATTATGATATACCTATGATTTTTTTTAGATATAAGACTGGGATTGACACTGATTGTTCTCCATATAGTATTCACACACTACTCCTAAGTCAGACAGCAAATAAGGCTGTCGGGGAGGCAGAGCTTGTCTGCAGTGTGTGTATCTCTGGTGAAGAGACAGCTTACATCCGTGATAGATTTTGTGAATGTGATAGCTTCCAATGTGTCTTTTCTTCCCCTAACTCTAAAACCACACAAAAATAGTCCATACAGAAAGGGCAATATGTCTAAATACATATTAAGTGAAACAGGGACTAGAGGGGTCTAATTATTTGTATAAACATGACTTTGACCATTTTTACACTTTAAGTTTGGTAAAGTGGTCGCCTGCATAGTAACCTCCTAGACTTGTTCCTGTCCTCTTAACACTGTGGATTATCAGCCAGTTTTCTCAGTAGTAGTAGAGTATAAATGCAAGTTAGTGATCTCCCTTTAAGCAGTCCTACATACAATTGCAAAGGTGCATTTATATTTATATTCCAATATCGTATGATTAAAAAATAATGATTTCAGATTTTCAGAAGTGTGAGATGTTTAAAACAGAGAGATAATGTTCAGCAATAGGTTCTGAATCAAATGAACTGCAAAATTCACTCGATTTTATTCACTCGGACCCAACATCTACTGAGAGGATGGAGAGTAAGGGAGATGAAGAGTTCACTCCAGAGAAGGGCAGTCATCCTGCAAGGACAGCATGGACCACTTGTGTATCTAATTTTCTTAAGAAGGCCAAATTTCCTCTTAGATTTTTCTAATAAAAATTTTAAGGAATGAAAATGAATGAAAATGGGTTGAATTTTAATATTTAATGTTATCACTACCAAAATAAAGTAACATCAACTGGATGACTCAGCAACAGCATAAATTTGTTTCATATTCTGGACGCTGTAAATGATTTTAGAAATGCATTGTGGGGTCCAGTTGAGTCTTGTGAGGGCTCAAGGGGTGTGTGTGCTACCTTCTCAGCTCCTGGTTGCCCCAGCCTGCGTTTGCTTTCCTGTGGTTACCCCCAACTTTGCCTCATTCTCATTTCTCTTCTCCCTTCCTCCCTCCTCTCCTCTTAATTCTCACTCTCTTTCTTCTTTCCTTTCTCTCTCCTCTTTCCAAAGTTCTCTTTATTAGGATACCAGTAACAAGCTCATCTTAATTGATAAAATTTTCAATGGCCTCTTTTTCAAGTATGTCAACAGTCTAAGTACTGAGAAGTTATGAGATCAACACATCTTTTACTGACTCATAATTAAAACCCCAAACAAATGCCTAATATAGGAAAGCCAATTATTGTGAATAAAAGCACGACATAGAATGGTAATGGGGATTTTTCTCTTCTTCTCTTCTTTTTTAAAGACACAGTTTCTATATATTGCCCTGGCTGTCCTAGAATTTACTGTGTAGACCAGGCTGGCATTGAACTCACAAAGATCTGCTTACCTGTCTCTCAAGTGCTGGGATTAAAGGTACATACCATTACATCTGGCAGAATTTTTCCATTAGCTACATTTATCCTAAAAATATTTCTATTGAGATCCAAGATGGTGGTGACGAGCATACACCATATCTGAGGGGCAAAGGATCTGAAACTCCAAAATTGGTGAGTGAAGGGACTGCTGAACCCAAAACAATGATATTGAGGCTTCCAGGGAGAAAGGAGACTAACCATGAACTGAGTCCATTTAGATTTGGGTCACCCATGGACTCCTCGGCGGACTTTTCCTGGGGCTCAGTCCCCAGGCACTTCCCCATATCCATCTCTCTATTCCATCTTTGGCAGAGGCAGAGGAGGTGGCCTGCAGATTCCGCCACAGACCACAGTGCCCAGCCCCAGCGCTGGCGGCTCCTAGCAAATAAACTCCAGCTCAGGATCTGGGATAGAGAATACTCAGGCGTCCCCCATTCCCCACCCCCTGCCACTGTCCAGGAACCAACCACCATAATCCTTCCCTGGCAGAGGAAAAGGATAGAGAGGCAGCCTACAGAGTCCACCACAGAGCACACACCCGGGCCTCAGCACTGGTGGCTCCCAGCACAGCACACAGTGCTGGTGGACACCAAGACCGGCTGCTACAGCACCACTGAGCTGACTGTTAGCCTACCCCCGCATCTGCTCCAGCAGGATCAAACTGGAGAGTAGAGAGCAAGGGGAACCCCTGTGCTTTCCCACTGGTCGTGCTACAGAGTGAGTGAGCCTTCAAGTGAGTGCTTGCAGAGCCCCAGATCCAGGGCCCCTCTGTGAAAGCAACTAGACAACAGATCCCTACCACCCACACCCCTATTGTGGGCAACATAGGGATTATTGGGACAGCAATCCCAACACTGAAGCTCCTGCTCTGTGGGTCTACCAGTGAATTCCAGGCAAACAATTCCTGGAACCCAGACAGATCTGCATACCTGAGGCCTGTAGGCCACTGAGGTAATCAGGGAATCTACACTTGTACACTACGCCCATTAACAGCACCTGTGAATAGTGCCAGCATCACATTCCTCACTTAGGTACAGTTGAAACACCAACACACACTCTCAAACCAGTGAACCTCTATCATATACATGAAAAACATTCCAGAAACCAGAAAAAGCCGGACCTAGTCTGAAGTACAGACTCCAGGCACAAACAGTAAAGGTTACAGATAAGCAGATGGCCAGAGGCCAGTGTAAGAACACACCCAACAAAAATCAGGACATCATGGCTTCACCAGCAAACCCAAAATCAATGGACACTTCAAATCATTGGAAACACCAGAAAATGACTTTAAAACTCTGCTTATCCAGTTATTAGAGGCTCATAACGAGGAAATGAACAAATCTCTCAGAGAAATAGCCACACAAGTAGAGGCAAATAAAGAGGAAATGAACAAAGCTCACAAAGAAACGACCACACAAATGGGGGCAAATAAAGAGGAAATGAACACAAGCTCTCAAAGAAACACAGGCAAATATAGCCAAACAACTAGGGACACAATTATTGGCATACAGAGAAGAAATGAACAAAAAAATAGAAGCCAAAATTGAAATGCAGGACTCCACATTCAAACAGATGAAGAAAATGGTGCAAGACATGAAAACAGAATTAGAATGAACAAAGAATACACAAACAGAGAAAACTCTGGAGCTGGAGAATTTAGAGAAAAAATCAGGAACTACCAACGTAAGCATCACCAACAGAATACAAGAGATGGAAAAGAGAATCTCAGGTGCTGAAGGTACACTTGCAGAAACTGATACATCTCTCAAAAAAATAAAATAAAATCAGAAAAGTTCCAAACACAAAACATCCAAGAAATCAAGGATACCATGAAAAGACAAAATCTAAGAATAATAGGAATAGATGAAAAAGAAGATATCAGGCTCCAAAGTCTGGAAAATATTTTCAAGAAAATCATGGAAGAAAATTTTCCCAACTTAAAGAGAGAGATGTCCATAAACATACAAGAGGCCTACAGAACACCAAATAGACTGGACCAGAAAAGAAACTCCTCACATCACATCATAGGCAAAACACTAAACCTACAGAACAAAGAAAAATATTAAAAGCAGCAAGAGAAAAAGGCCAAGTAACATATAAAGGTAGACCTATCAGAATCACATCAAATTTCTCAACAGAAACTATGAAAGCCAGAAGGACCTGGGCAGATGTCATGCAGACTCTAAGGGACCACAGATGCTAACCCATGCTACTCTATCCAGCAAAGCTTTCAATCAACATAGATGGAGAAATCAAAATATTCCATGACAAAAACAAATTTAAACAATATCCACACAGCAACCCAGCCCTACAGAAGATACTAGAAGGAAAATTCCAACCCAACAAAAACAACTACATCCAAGAAAACATAGGATATAGATAACTACACAACAAAAAAAAAAAAAATCAAAAGAATACTAGCAATTAAACACAGTAATACCACCAACCCATCAAAAGAAATTAACATTTGCTCATCACTAGTATATAGCAACATCAATGGACTCAACTCTCTGACAAAAAGACACAGACTAACAGAATGGTTGAAGAAACAGGATCCAACATTCTGCTGCACCTAAGAAACACACCTCTGCAACAAAGATAAACACTACCTCAGAGTAAAGGGCTGGAAAAATGTTTTTCAAACAAATGGACCCATAAAACAAGCTGGGGTAGCTATCCAAATATCTAACGAAATAGACTTTCAACCAAAATTAATAAAAAAAGATGAGGAGGGGCACTACATACTCATCAAAGGAAAAATCCACCAAGAGGACATCATAATTCTGAACATATGCCCCAAATACAAGAACACTTCATCCATAAATGAAACATTATTAAAGCTTAAATCACACATCGATCCCAACACCTTAATAGTGGGAGACTTCAACACCCCACTTTCGCAAGGACAGATCATCTAGACAGAAGACAAATAGGGAAACAAAGGCACTTACAGATACCCTAAATCAAATGGACCTAATAGATGTCTATAGAACTTTTCACCAAAACTCAAAAGAGTATACCTTCTTTTCAGCTCCTCATGGAACTTTCTCCAAAATGGACCATATAGTTGGTCACAAAGCAAG